ACCTCTAGGTTGGAGCTCGTTTGCTGCGCTCACTTGCCTTCAGGTTAGCTCGTTCGCTACGCTGACTCGCTTCCAGGTTGAGGTTCGTTCGCTCCGCTCACTCACCTTTTGGTTGCAAATTAGCTGTTGTCATAAATGTAAAAGAAATAATAGTGCTGCACCCTGTTGGTAATCCTTGTAACTTTAATGCTATTGAACATCATTGAACAGAACCAATTTGTTTAATTGAAACAGCTGTTAAGATTCAATAATTCCATTTCTCATAAGGTTAACACGGGAAACTCCAGAGCCACTGGGGTGGAGCCCAGAGGTCGGAGGGTGAAATCCTTTCTTAGTGAGCGTCTACCACCCAAAAGGAAGATGCCTGCCAAGTTTCAGGTTCCTAGGTCTTATGGTTTCTTAGATTTCGTGATGAGTGAGTGAATGAATGAATGAATGAGTCAGTGGTATTTGAGCTTTATATAATATATACTAGCTGACCCAGCGAACTTCGTATCGCCTAAGTTATAGGTTTCCCCTAAGACAGACCGATGGAAAGAAAGTACCGTTACGTTTAATTTTCAAGATGATCTCGTTCGCATCGCTCAATCACGTCCTGGTTGAAGTTCGTTCGCTACGCTCACTCACCTTTAGGTTGGAGCTCGTTCGCTGCGCTCACTTGCCTTCAGGTTGGAGCTCGTTCGCTACGCTAACTCGCCTCCAGGTTGAAGTTCGTTCGCTACGCTCACTCACCTTTTGGTTGCAAATTAGCTGTTGTCATAAATGTAAAAGAAATAATAGTGCTGCACCCTGTTGGTAATCCTTGTAACTTTAATGCTATTGAACATCATAGAACAGAACCAACTTGTTTAATTGAAACAGCTGTTAAGATTCATTAATTCCATTTCTCATAAGGTTAACATGGGAAACTCCAGAGCCACTGGGGCGGAGCCCTTTTAAGAATTTCGAAACGGGAAATAGTTTACGTCCGATTCGCATACCTACAGAATTTACACACCAAATTTCATAACGATCGGTGAAGTCGTTCCGGAGGAGTTTGCAGACAAACACTGTGACACGAGAATTTTATATATTAGATTTTACAGTTAGTTGCTTGTTTATGATATATACGAATATGTACATTTTGAATAATCAAAATATCCTCACAATTTCAACAAAAATAAATCACAAATTTAGGATTGTCTTGAGCTGTATTCGTACTCTTTTAGACGTTTAAGTTGTTAAATTAAAGGTTCAATTATATTTTCATGGAATTTTGTATCTTTATCAGAATATGTTTGGAGGTGACAGTAAGACTTTAGAATGTTTAACTCGTGAAAGGTCTTCGACTTACTTTAAAGCTTCAAGTCCGAAAACAAAGAACACTTTTAAGACTTGAATCTTAGCACAAACTTGTGAAACTGAAATAGGCGCTTCGCCAACATCTTTGCTGGCATACTTGTGGAAACCCGTGGGCCATTTAGAACTACACATACACAAGCTACGTAATTAGGTAAATAAAATACGTTTGTGTTCCTAAAACTCAAAAATAAATATTAAACAATTATTAAACACATTGGGTGATCTACATGTACGATTATTGTTTAATGCCTTTGCTTCTCACTGTAACTTGGGATACATTAATTTTGGTAAAGTACTGTATGGAATTGTTTATACATTTAAACCAACTAAACTAGGAAGGAAGATTTTATTTCAATTATGTTTACGAAAAATATAATATTCCACGATTTTGAATAGATTTAAATATTAGCTCTAATTTTTGTAAGTTGTAAGTTCACTTGGTTACCGTTAACATAGTTTAGATCTGTTCAATTTTACCATAGAATAGTTAAAAAAAAAAAAACGAAGACAGAATTTAACCAGTCGTACCTTTAGTCTTTAGTAGATTTCTCATCCTATTGATCAGGTGAACGCAATTCTGTCCGTTGAAGTGTAGAGATGGTTTTGCATTTTCTTCTTGTTACGCTGGGTTTTCCAAGGCGCGGAAGCGGAGAGCGGAGAGAGGAACGCGGAGAGCGGAATTGAAATTAACATGGCATTCCGCTCCGCTTCTAGGAAAACAGTAACATTAAATTGCCTAAGACAAGTGGAGTCCGCTCTCCGCGTTCCTCTCTCCGCCCGCCGATTCCGTGCCTAGGAAAACCCGGCTTTAGTTCAGTAATTTAAAACATCGTTTTTACAAATAAAGCTGGGTTTTCCTAGGCGCGGAGTCGGCGAGCGGAGAGAGGAACGCGGAGAGCGGAATTGAAATTAACATGGCATTCAGCTCCACTTCTAGGAAAACAGTAACATTAAATTACCTAACCAAGTGGAGTCCGCTCTCCGCGTTCCTCTCTCCGCTCGCCGACTCCGCGCCTAGGAAAACCCGGCTTAAGAGATATAATCATTAACAACGAAAATGAACTTCAAAATGTACAATGGGATGAGAAGTCTACTTATTATGACCATAAGAATAAGAATTGTTTGTTGGTGTGACTTAATTGTTAGGTATTTGGGTGCTAAATGGTTATAGTGTTTGCCAAACATTAAGGTTTTAGGTCCAATCACGAGAAGATTCAGTAGCTTTCTGGCGGCTCAAAGCTGGATCAGCTGTTGGCGATTGTAGCCTGTAACAGCTGTAACTAAGCTGTCGTTTAATTCAATCAACTTGTCCTTCGCTCATGTTCGCCTATGAAGGCAAGGCAAGTCGGCAACACGAAACTTATCTAACCCTTAAAAGCCAGTAGCTTTTTGATGTTCCAGTTGTCCCTGCACAATGCGATTTTAATACATGGTCTTGGTCTTGGCTATAAAAGCTTATTTTTGTGTCTACTAGGAGCAATAAGCAATACACTTATTTGCCCTGGGTTCATATAGCTTAAACCAAGTGTACAGGTACGTCACTATGCAAAGTAATGAAGTAAGGATCTATGGACAATTACTGTAACTCAAACGCCCAAGGTAAAACATAAAACATTATTATGTATGATTTAGTTGGCATAGTTTTAGACGGGTTATGGTTGTGTGAGTAGTTCACATAGAATTACTTTAGTCTTCATGGTACCTTCGTGCTAAGATTTGCTCATTAGAATAATTCTGAATAAGTTTACCTTGTTTTGCATTCAAATTGATGGTTTAACACATGCAACTCATGTAGTTGACTTTTATACACCTTACTAATAACACAATGTTAAATTTATTCTGTTTACGTTTGACGTTTATCGTATGCAGATTACAATGTTGAAAATATAAAATGATTACTTTTGTACTGGGTTATTCAGTAAGAAACTCTTGGTACCACTGATCCTGCTATTAGGACCACTTGTCGGCTTTTAGCACCGGTACAGAGTAATAAACATCGCCCTTCTACGAAAGAACGGACCCTTCCTGACCAGTCCTTGGAATTTTGTAACTCCAATCTGGAGCGATGCCGTCTCCCGAGCGCCGAGTCTCCCGAGCGCCGCGTCTCCCCAGCGCCGAACAGGCTATCTGGCATAATCTAACAGTTTTGACAGCCGAATTGGAATTCACAAAAGCAACGAACTGCGGTAAAGGCGTGTGCCTAATTGAGCATTGTAGACAATCAGCACTGGAATTACGTTAATTTTACATAAATTTCATTGCAGACATACGTCTCGAACTCTAAATTAACATTGAATGAATATTTTTTAATTCAGCTTACTGACTCTCGTACTTTGGAGATGCTCGCACGGAATCTTGAATGATTAACTTAACTTAACCTTTACTGCTTCACAGATTAAACTCATTGATACCATTTTAAAGAGAAGGTATTAACCCTTGTCACTTCTGCACCACTGAGCAGAACCTTTGGTAATTTATGGCCTCGGCGCTGGGACACTCATTTGCCCTCGGCGCTGGGACACTCATTTGCCCTCGGCGCTCGGGAGACTCAATGCTTCCTCGCCAGTCCTTGGAATTTTGTAACTCCAATCTGGGGCGAGGAAGGTGTCTTTTGTCAGTGTTTTGACGAGCATCACATTGTTCAACTCATAGCTTCATACAGGACGTGAGAGGCAGATCCCACCACGTATTTCATTAGTAATAATTCACATTTACCGCATTAGTTTCGGTTTAGCACTTCGTTCATCACAGTTTTCATTTATACAGTCCACTAATATCCTTTTAGTATCTGTCAAGCCAATAAAATTATTGCTAATTTATAAGTGTTAGTTTTTAAACTTTTTTTTATTTAGATTCCAACAATTAAGAAGGAACCAAATAGGTATCTGAGGCCATACGCATTGTCTTTATCTTTCACATATTTATTTACGAAATATCATTTAGACTTTTGATTACTAATAGACGAATATAAAATGACAACTGCAAATTAAAAATTGTCAATTGTTTTTCATTTTCATTTTTTTCAAAAGGTTTCCCTATTTTCTTATTCCTTGGTTCCATTTCTCTTGCCATAGTTTGTTGGACACTGCATCTATTTTTTTCACCATGACGCACGGACTATCACCCACGGGAAACTGCATTTAGAATTTTGTGATGAATGTGCAGTAAAATACGTTCTTCGAAGTTAATATTATTTTTAGTTGAGCCTAGAATATCTTTTCTAATCGTATGGTAAAATTAGATTACAATCTGTAGAATCTAAAAGATAGTTAGTTTATATAGGCACGTAATCCGGTTCAGCCCTTACAAAAGTCTATTACAATAATTAACCAAATTTGCTACGGTTGAGTACTATACACCAATTATATCAATCAATTCAATGTATTAATACTACCTGTAATAATATTAGCTTTCCGTATTGTCCACATGCTTTAGTACTGTGTACTAAATATCTAAGGTAATATATAAATTGTTGAAAGTCGATAAGTTTCAGTACCCAACAAAAAATACTACTTTATATAGTAATTTATGGAGCAGCTTTATGGACCAGGTATTTGTAGTACTTTAGTCAGTAGTCAGAAATGTTGTAAATCATACACAGACTATGTTATTTCTCATTAATCTACTTCTATTAGTGTTTTTCTCTAAAAACAAATTACCTTAAACCTATTTCCCTTGGAGGGAGACTTGGCGTAAGGGATTCCCTGGAACTGATAGATTGTCCTGGAGGTCCACGCCGATGAGGAGGTGGAGCCCAGGACTTCCCCGAGGCCTCCCACGGTCACTTGGACACCCTCCGAGGCAGAGGTCCAAGGAACGACCAAGGTACACGACAGAGCGACCAGTAGGAGGGTAGTGCTCGGGGACATGGTCGCGGCCGCACTGCCTCTAACTAGTACTCGCACAACCGAATGTTCGGTTGTTGCTATCGATTATCACGGTTTAATCTCGCCGTGAGGGGCTATTCGGTGTAACAGGGTTGTATTGGATTTCGGATATCGCAACTGTTGTTCCTTATTTTATTTGTTTTAGAGGGAATCATAATTTCGTTTACAGTTTTGAGCTGTGTAACAGTGTTAGGACAAGACCTTGCTTGTTGTTGTTTTTTCAAAAAAAGATACAACCTAAATGTACATGTTCATATTTAAGACAGGTAATATCCATGTATTTTTTATTCAATAATCATAGTTGTAAGCTAATAGTTGATCATAGTTTTTTTTTTATTTAACCTTATGTTAATAAAACATTTTGTTCAGCAAACTATCACTTAATTGATTAATTTATAAGTGGTTAGGTGTGATGATAGTTCATTTTATTTTTGAAAGTCTGTTGACTTACCAACATTTTGATTGGTTATGAAAATGTCAACCAATACGAATGCACTAGTTGACTTTGGGTATCTATATTCTGATTCTGGGGTTAAAAGGAGCGAAGCGAAGCTCTTTGGGATCGACTTCAATAATAACTTCCAACACATTAGAAGAATTAACTAATTAACTCAATAACGGCTGAACGTGTTTTAGCCAAACTTACTAAGGTTGTTTGACAAATGTTTATTCAATTTCCGATAATGCCTATGATTTAAAAGTAACTCAAAGTTTGTAATTTTTAACATCGGTCTTATGGGTCGCCACGATGGTTACAAAATAACGACGTAAATGTAAACAAAACAAAGAGTCATACCATATGTTAATATAAAGCCATGACCTATAAATAAACACAGTACAAAGGGAAAAAATCGGATGATGACAACTGAACATAGAATTCCAATTTAAAAGGAATTCCATGGTGATAGTGTGTCACTATGTATTTGCTAGAGCAAGATTTTTCGAAGTTTGTGATCCACTGCGCCGCGTTAGTGCGGTGAGGATCTCGTGCGCGCCTGGCGGTAAATATTGCAACTATAATTACCTGGTTGGGTTGAAATCCGCTAGATGTCGGGTGATATGATAGTTACCTAAAAACCCTTAAGTGAACATTGTAAAGCTTCAAATCTGTGTTACAACAAGTGTAAATACTTTAAGTTTAGTCAGAAACTGATAAATATTTAGACATTTTCAATAGTTTATTAAAATTTCAATTAATTTCATAACATATTCACGTTTTTTTCTTCAGGTATAAGAATGTGTCTCGCATGGTCTTTTGATATTAGATTTGGCCACACTTGGTGTTATTCAAATTCTTTTTAAAAATAGTATAGTATAGTAAAAATACAATAGTACAATAACAATATTTTACAATAATGTAGGACGTTACTCGACATCGAGTATCGTGCAAAATACTAATTTTAAAGGCCTCCTCTAATCAGGTGGACAATAATAGAAAATACTACCCACACCGCAGCGCAGCAAACCTGCTAACTAAGGTAAACAGCCAATGTCCATTTAACTGGCTGGATTAGAATATAATAAATAAAAATATAACCTTAATCGTCAGATTTATTTCCAACTAGCTGCCGTAACCGTGCTTCGCAACGGAGATGACACGACATTGAAGAGAAAGATTTGGTCATTAAATTTGTATCGTCAGAAAGTGCACAAATTTCATCAATTTAAAAGAAATTCAACAATATATAATACATAACATTTATTGTTCGTACTGGTGCATAGTTCATTGTATTAACATTAATTTACCTGATAACCATTGAGTAAATGAACACAGTTACAGTTAATTGATTTTAGAAGAAAAAGTGAATTGCGAACAGCTTGTTTTGTGATATTATCCCTAGTTAAATTAAAGCAGTTTTGTAGAAAACGCAACAACTCTTTTTTTCTCTAAATGTAAAACAAGTTCAATGTGATGTGCAAGTTATGTGAAAGTACCTGGGGATAGAGCCATGGCTCGGTTTAGTTTATTTCCATATAAACTAATTTTCAGCTAATTTAGGCTTTTTTCATGTTCAATTTATTAAGATGGAAATTAACCTGGCAATCCAAAACACATTAATTTATTTTACAGTCGATGATAAAAACTACTCGGGTCATTGCTTAAACATGGTCTTGACAGTTGAATTAAAACAGCTTATTTTTGTTTAGATTATAAGTTTGACTGTTAACAAAAATATAATAATGATAGTAAATATAGTACCTAAATATAGCAATTTTTGACACTTCTGCTGACATTTCACCACCGTCCTTGGACCTTAAAATGAATCCAAAACAGCCATGCTACCTTCTTCCTACCTCGAGATATTTCGTAGAGACAGATTCGCTTACGGAATTAAATATATAGATTGGTATTTCTGTTAAATTATAATTTAAAACTTTTTATAGTATAGATATCACTTCTATAATATTTCTAAACACTATTAATAAGGCACAGCAATATTGCTAAAGTTTATAACAGCTGATGTTAGTATTTTTAATGATTTATTGTGAGTGAAGATGGGAGGATTTGTAAATGAATTTGATTTAATATTGACCTTTAAAAATTACTAATGTAAATTCAATAATAGGTAGTTTTGAAACTGTTCGATTTAAATTTGAAATGTCAAAAATGAAGAAAATATATGGAAATAAGGGATTTGAAGGTAAATCATGTAGCCTATGTGAAAATGTTTTTCAAAATTTTGAAATTTCGTTAAGTTTTTTCACATTCACCTACACAAGATTTATAATTAATCAAAACCAAAATGGCGGTTTCCACTACTTACAAGATTTCAAAGCAACAAACGTTTCTCTAAAGTCCATACAGGTTGAAATTAGTTTCTAAAAACGTTGGCGGGTGTGTAACTATTTTATACTTAACAGATGGACGGATCAAAATGTTTGTATTTCGTGTCCTCTTCCCGTTGCAACGCACGGGTACAACAGCTAGTAGTATACCGGTAATTACAGTCAAATCTACTTCGGGTTTAATATTTGACACGTGAATAGAAACCAATGTTAACACATAGACACAGTATATACTGTATGAGCACTGTCAATCCATCGGTTAAAACAATTCTTTCGTGTATTTTTAATTCATTTTGGTTTTAAATTTGAGCGGATTTTTGGCAGAATAAAATATAATATATAAACTACCTATTACAAGTTTGGGGAAATAATTTATTCTTGGATAGTTTTTACTGCACACATTACCGTTATATTCTACATTGTTCTATGATTCTTCCAAGTAGATTCAAAGTATGATTCAAAAATAGCTTTTACATTCTAGCTCTTACAATCCTAGGAACATACAACTAACTATTAACTATACACAGTTTCGTTTGGCTATTACAAAATGTTACTATTCAATTTAATTTAAAATGAATTCGAGGATGGTTTTGTGTCCACTAGTTTACCCGCTAGACCCATCGATCTCTCTAGACCTAGACCAAGAAAGAATAGTGGGCTGAGAAGACGTTGGGCTGCGTTGCGTTAGCATCTCGTGCGCGCCTGGCGGTAAACATTACAACTATAACCACACGCTTGCGTTGAAATCCGCTAGATGTCGGGTGATATGAAATTACCTACAAACCCTTGAGTGGACATTGTAAAACGTTATATTTGTGTTACAACCAGTGTAAATACTTTGAGTTTAATCAAAAACTGACAAATACAAACATTTTCAATAGTTAACTAAGATTTAAATTATTTTCATAACATATTCGCGTTTATTTCTTCGGGTATAAGAAAGGTGTCTCACAAGGTTTTTTGATATTACATTTGGCCAGACTTGGTATTCAAATTCACTTGATACATTATTACTGCTTTACTCAGACTGGTATTAGGAATACATTGCACGAGTATCGTGTAATGTAAAATTTTTAAAGGCCTCCTCTAATCAGGAGGCCGATAATTAATTGCCATTGCTCCGGCAAAACTGTCCCTATAGATGAAGCGTAATGCCTTTAAACTGGCTGGAATTATACTAAAATGGTCCCTTTAAATAGTCTGATTTAATTCCTAAATAATTAAATAACATTACTTGTTATGAGTACTAAGGTTATCTGCTACAGGGAAGGTATTGAGGTGTTTTTTAGCGAATTTCCCTATAGTGAGTTTTTATTGAAATGTCGATAGCTTAGTATGAAATAAACGAAATTGCCCAATTTGATTAGAATATATCTATAAACAAGCAAACTAAAACAGCTTATTTATTTTCCATATGAATAACATTGGAATTAACAATTGTTTTTATCATCTCCTTAATGGTTTGGCATACTGTACAACACCACTACAGTATACAAATATATTTATTTTTTAAGCTCTACCAAATAGTTTGGAAAGAAATGGTGAAACTTTGTGTTTTGTAAGTAAAAATGGGAATACCTCCCGTAAAACACCGTTCCCATGGTCCGATCATGCTGGTTCGCGAACTCATTCAATAACTATTTTATCCCGCCTTACACCATCAGCGGATCATCGCATAAGATGATTGACAGGGTGTTTATATGGGGTAAAACTTGATTTTTATAATTTTTACCCTCGAAACATAACATTTCCCCATTTCTCTTTAAACTTGTATAAGAGCTTTACAAAACAAATAATTTTGTATATTGAAGTGTTTCACGGTTATTGGTCAGGGAGGAAATTCAATAAATTGCAAATTTACAATTCCCATGTTATTCTAATGGAGAATAGTAAACTGCTGTAATTTGCTTGTTTATGTATACATTTTGATTTAACTTGGCAAATTTGTTTATTTCATACTAAGCTATTCATATTTTACTAAAAAAAACCCTCCTTCTAGCAGCGAACCTAGGTACTTGTTAAACATAATGTTATTTAATAGATTTAATTGAACATCCAATCAGGTAAATGTAAAATTGCTTAGTCTGCAGGTTTGCTGCGGGTATTTTATCATAACTAACCACATAACCAAAGCCTAGTATTTATTCAGAAACTGCCTTATTTATTTGTTTGCTGCTTTTAGCAGAGTGAAACCT